AAAAAAAATTATTTTGCTGTGGAAGCATGTTATCTGACTTAACCTGAGTGTCACATCTGTGGGCTGTCCCTGCCATGTATCGTGGTGCAGAAGGCAGGCCAAATTGTTAGGTATAACACTACGCTTCTCTTGCCTTCTCCTGTTTTGTGTATTCTCCAAGCCACACAGTTTCTTGTCCAACCTTTGCATGATTCTCTGTGCATGTATCATGACTTTGGTTTGAATCTCTCCAATTCTTTGTTCTGAGTTTTATGTTGCCATCATACCTTTCATTCTCTCTCCCCCCCCCACCCCCGGCTTGTCTTGGTTAAAATAAAACAGCCGATTTAGAACATCCATGTTTTAAGCTTCACATACACCCTTGGTTTTGTCTTAAGTTTCTTTCTTTGTTTTTCAACAATAAGAAGAAAGCTAAAGGAGGTTCATTTCATATTGCTGTCAGAAAAGAGTTTACCAGATAGCTGCCATTTCTTAGAATGCGGAGAAAGAAGTTGGGCTGATTCTTTGTCTTCTTTGTTTTTCTAGAACTTTTATCACCTGAAGCTCTGCGTTATTTGCTTGGCAAAGGCGTAGTAACAGAACGTGGACACATACATCCAAAGTATTGATTACATTTAGACATGCACCTTGCCCACTACACAGACTGTGGATAGCAGAGGCAAAAACAAAATCCTAGAATAACAGGATAAAAATGAGATATTAATTTCACTAGCTCCCTCTCTTGCTAACATAACCATGATCTCCAAAGGCTTAAGCTAACATAACAGGCCTTTTGGTACTTCCCAAAAGTTTTCTTAGTGTACGGTTTGCTCCTAACCCCTTCCTTGCAATTTCCGCTCCTTTTCAAATCTTTCTTCTACTTGTATGTCATTATTTCTCCTGTGGTGTCCATCATTTTTATTTTGTTCGTTTTATTCGATATGTTTCTCTCAGGCTCTCTGACATTAAATCTTTTTTTAGTGTTTATCATCCATCTTGTCTGTTAACCTGGAAGAAGTATGCCCTATTTCCCTGAACAAAAAGGGATCCAAAATGCAAAAAGCAAAGCAAAACAAACTTGACACCATCCAAAATTGAAACAGATGGGAATTATGGCCAGACCAATTCAAGGAGTTGTTCTGTGACCAGAGGTGTGACACTCAGAGCTGAGAGCCAAGAGTGCTACTAATCTCCTCTCTAATCAATTTTTTTTTAAGACTGAGGTGGCCGCTTCCTCATCGGGGGCTTGGCAAAGGCTCCATAAAGTTAATCGAGATCTCCAGAGTGAGCTGGAAGCCCAGTGCCAGCGCCAGGAGCTGATCAATCAGCAGATCCAGTCACTTAAACGTAGCTATGGGGAGGCAAAGGATGTAATACGGCACCATGAGGCAGAGATCCAGAGCCTGCAAGCAAGACTCAGCAATGCTGCTGCAGAGCTCTCCATCAAGGAGCAGACTCTGGCCAAGCTGAAGAGTGACTTGAAAGCCGAGAAGAAGAAAGCTGAAGAGCAAATGGAAGAGTGGCAACACAGTGAGACAGCCCTGAGTTCCCAGTTGAAAGCCAGTGAGCTGAAGCTCAAGAAAGCAGAAGCACTCCTGTTAGAAAAAACCCAAGAGCTGAGGGACCTTGAGACACAGCAGGCTTTACAGAGGGACTACCAAAAAGAAGTACAGCGGCTCCAGGATCGGATTGCGGATCTCAGCCGGCAGTTGAGCGCCAGTGAGCAGTCTCGAATGTCAATGGAAGAGAAACTCCAGCGGAATTATGAGGCTTTGCTAGAAAGCTGTGAGAGAGAAAAACAGGTTTTGATACAGAGTTTGAAGGAAGTGGAGGATAAAGCCAGTGAATATGAAAATCAGCTTCAGAATAACGAGCAGCAGATGGAAATTTTGCAGAAAGAGAAGCTGACTGCCAAGTTCGAAAGCAGTGAAATTGTCCACCAGCTGGAAGAGCAGCTGGAAATGAAAGAAGCAAGTATTCAGAAGCTTGTTGAGCACATAAAGAGTCTTGAGGAAGAAAGGGATCAGATTAAGTGCCGGTTCCAGGAGCTAATGAACCAAGTTGCTGAGTCAGACAATGAAGTTGCGAAGCTGCAAGCCAAGCTCCAGCTGGAGGAGACCAACTATCATACTCTGGAACGTTCATATGAGGCTGTGTCAGGACAATTTCAGAACTTGCAGAAGGTTCTGAAAGAAAAGGAGGATGAGCTCAGAGTGGTGAGAGAAGTACACTTGAGAGTTGTTGTGAAGAAAGATCAGGACTTAAGTGAACCACTATTTAAAAAGACTGCCCCGAGTAGTAGGCTGGAAGAAGTGGAAAGAGGCAAGCCGGCCCAAGAAGATGTGTTGAAAGCATCATCTGATGAGACTTCATTATCAGCTGCTGTAACAGACACTGCCAATTCTGGACAAGTTGTACAGCTAGTGGGAAATGCACTTGCGCCCGACAGACTTCCAGTTTTAGACTGTACCCATGGCATGGATGATGATGAAAGCTCCAGTATCAGTCAGATGCAGTCATGTGAACATCCAGTGATGAATAGAGAAGACTGTAAGTCTCCATCCAAGTCTATTGACTTTCAAGGGAAGGAGATATGTCAGAATGACTCCTCAAAACCTGATGCAGAAGTTCCTGGAGCAAAAAGGCAAAGGATACGTTTCTCCAGCATCCAGTGCCAAAAATATGTTCATCCGGATGGATCAGAGAAGACATGGACCAGCAGCACTTCCTCAGACACTAGTCAGGACAGGTCACTTTCTGAAGACAGTATGTCATCAGAACCAGCTCCCTGTTACCCAGTTTCAGGTGATTCTGAAACTTACCTGTCTATCATTCACTCCCTGGAAACCAAACTTTATATCACAGAAGAGAAACTCAAGGATGTAACAATGAAACTTGAGAGCCAGCATGGGCATAACCAAGACACTCTCATTGCACTTCACCACCAATGGGCCAGCACAGAAACACAACTTAGGGAACAGCTTCAAGATAGCTTAGCTCAAGTTAGTATGCTAGTTTCACAGTTGGAAAGTGAGAAACAGGAAAAGCTGGAGCTTGCTGAGAATCAGATTCATGAGCTAAGTGGACTCCACAGAAGAAACAAGCAAGCGTTAACAAGCTTAAAGAAATGCAGAGAACAGCTGAGAATTTTGCCCCAATCAGATAAGGAAAAAGAGAGAGAGATGTATTTTGATGCCTTATCCAGTATGGAAAGTACTCTGTCTGATGCGATCCAGATGTTAGAACAGACATTTTCTTTGCCTGAAAGCCTAAGAGAAGAAAGGCTTGCAACTGAAACTGTGCATACAGAAGGCAGCATTTTGGAGAACACTTTACAGCAGCAGCAGGAAGTGGTGGTGGAGGAAGAACTTTCTAGACAAGACCAGTTGAAGTTGCTTTCAAGGAGGGTGGCTTTTGAATCCTGCTTGATCAACCAAATAGCAGAATCTTTAACAGATGCAACCTCCAAGATTTCTTTAGCCCTTAGAGAGATCCATGGTACTGTGGATGCAGTCTTATTAGAACCTTCAAATATTTCACATACTGCTGTGGCCTTGGCTGATATCTTATCTAAAAAGCTGGTGTTGGAAGACCAGTTTTGGAGCCAGGTAGAGGAGTTCAGAAAACATCTAGGTGCCAGAGGAGAAGAAGGGAAGACTGAGATAGAGACTCTGAGTTCAAATGTCCCACGGTGCCTCATTCCGTCAATTGCAGACAGCACACTGATTAAAGCAGAACTTGGTTTTGTTGCGCAGAAAATGAGAGAGTCCTTTCATCAGAGATTAAAGACCATTGAAGAAGATCTCCACAATACTAAAACAGCCCTTCAGCAACATAAGTGTATGCTGGAAGAAATCACTAAAGCATACCAAACTCCTGATTTTGATGCGATTATGCATCAGATTTCCAAGGCTCTTGAAATCCAAGAGGGCACTTCAGAAAGAGTCCATTCAGCCTGGGGTTCAAGCCTTCATGACCCGACACCAGGAGCCCAAAGTTTACAGGATCTGAGCAGTCAAGCTCTGGCAGCTGTTCAGGATGAACTCGCCCAGCAGCTCAAAGACAGAGCAAATGTTCTGAAAGAAATATCTACTGCTCTTCTGTCTCTGTCTCCTGATGATGCCCTGAAAGACTGCCACAAACTCCTAAAGGTTTCTTGTGGTACCCCTTACGATATGTGCATGGGAGATCTTCAGCGCTACTCATCTTTGCTAGTTCAAGATGCAGTTATCCAAGCCCAGGTTTGTTATGCAGCCTACAGAGCAAGATTGGAGTATGCTAAGGAAGCAACACTGTACAAGGAGTCTCTTCAGAATGTGGATGCTCTGTGTCAAGAGCGCATAAGGGCAGTGACTGCCCTAAGAGAGGAATATGAAGAATTGCTCCGAAAACAGCAGAATGAATATGCTGAGATGATTGCTTTGCTTGAAAGAGAAAATGCAGACCTCAAAGCCAAAGTAGAGAAGCTTGACAATCAACGGAAGCTCCTGGAAGAGGAAGAGCATAAGCAGAGCAAAAAACTAACAGATCTTCAAGGCAGATATGAAAATGATATGCAGAATATGGTTGAGCAACTGAACAGGACAAAAGACATGCTGAAAGCTGAGCAAACAGAGGGACTCCACCAACTAGATGCCCTTGTGCAAGATAAGCAGAACTTGGAAAGGTACCATCTTGAGCAAATGAAAACTCTAGAAGATGAATTTCAAGTCAAGATGAAAGAACTGCAAATCCTTCATAATGAGGAGCTGCAAACCTTGCAGGAACACTACAACCAGGACCTTCGGTGCTTGCAAGAATCTTTGGATGAGTACCAGAAACAGCACCCAGAAACACTGTCCACAGCAGGATCCAGAGCAGAAGAATTGTGGATTGCAGACGAGGTTGATGGTGGAATGCAAGTCTCAGACAGCGAGCTTAATGCCATGCACGGGTTGAAAGAACGCATTCAAGAACTAGAAGCCCAAATGAACATCATGAGAGATGAACTGGAGCATAAGCACCTTGAAGGGAATGCATCTACCCTGAGGGAGAAATACCAGAAAGATTTTGAGAATCTTAAGGTTTATTTTCAGTGCATTTAATCTTACTAAGTCATGTGCAAACCCCCCTCCTGTTCGATCAAGCCTTGTTTCTCTCCCCTCCCCACCTTTTT